TTTATTGTAAAATGTACTAAAATATGCGTAATAAATATGCAAAAACAGGTATTTTTGTAAAATATGCAAAATCATACATTTACTGCAAAATATGCAAAAATATTCATTAACAATTGAATGCCATTTTAAAGGCAATTTCATGATTCGTAAAGCAAACTTAACCATTTCTATTTGAAGATGACCATTAAACTGTAAGAATACATTGATTGCATGCCATTTAAGTATTATGCAGGCTCAGAGTATTTGAATTCCTAAATTATGCCTTCTTAATCCGTTGTCCTATTTAGGTCAAATCTGGTATATGCAATTTTTAATTTAAGGAATCTGAGCAAGCACAATACTCACTACTCTCTGTATCTCTGCTAAGGAGCAGAGTAATACATGCCGAACTGGGGTACCAAAGCAGGGCCGTATATGCAGTGAGAGGCACCCTACAGGGAGGAGTGCTATCACCTTTACTATGGTTCATGATCTTAAACAAACTACTGGTAAAGCTGGACTCTCAGAGAATCAAAGCGGTGGCTTACGTCGGTAATGTAGCGATACTGGTATCGGGTCAGTTTCCTTCGGTCATAAGTGAAATTATGGAAAGGACTTTAAAGATAGTAGATTCCTGGGCCATAAGCTGTTCTCTTAGCGTAAACCCGGAGAAAACTGACCTTATGCTTTTCACAAATAAAACAAAATTACCAAATTTTAATAAACCAAGGTTCCGAGGAACGGAACTGGATCTGTCAATGAAGGTGAAATACCTTGGAGTTATTTTGGATCCCAAACTTAACTGGAAACCAAACATTGAGGAGCGTACTAGGAAGGCCACGGTGGCTCTCTATGCGGCCAAGAGAATGTTGGGCAACAGATGGGGTTTGAAACCAAGAATTGTGCACCGGATGTACACAGCTATAGTCCGACCCATAATCTCTTATGGGGCGCTGGTCTGGTGGCCAGCCCTTACTAAGGATTACGTAGTTAAAAAGCTAGGCGGAATTCAAAGGTCAGCAGCCGCTAGCGTAACAGGCGCAATGAGATCCTAACCGAAGGACGTTTTGAACGTCCTTCTTTACTTATTACCTATAGATATCTTCAAAGAGAATTCAGCTGCTAACAGCGCCATCAGACTGCGTGCCCTGGGGCTCTGGAAGAAAAGACCGTTCGGGCACGGTTCCATCCTAGACGCAATATCGTCTGAAATTAAAGCGCTGCCCACTGACTATATCCTGTCGAAGGCCTGGGTTCACCACAAACCCCGCACGAAATTCCCAAGCCGCAGTGACTGGAATCAGGAAGATTTCGGGTACTTGCAGGGCTTAACTGTCTTTACGGATGGGTCAAAGATGGAATGCGGTTTTGGTGCTGGGGTCTTCATTGAGCAATATAACCTAAAATCATCCTTCCGCCTACCAGACTATGCAAGCTTTTAAGGAGGCAGTAAGGTACATCAAAGACAATGTACCCGCGAGAACGCAAGTGAACATCCTCTCGGATAGCCAAGCGGCTTTTCAGGCACTTTCCTCTAACTCTATTAGATCTCAGCTAGTGGATGAATGTAGGAGAGAGCTGGCCTATATCTCTGATCAATACGAAATTACCCTAATATGGGTCCCGGGACATAGGGGCATCTACGGAAACGAGGCAGCGGACGAACTAGTAAGGAGCGGCTCCGCACTGGATATGTCCCACGCGGTGGACATGGGCGCCTCGCTCAGGGAGATTAAGACAAAAATTACCGAATTTTATCATTCGAAGGCCAGGCAGAGGTGGAACTGCACAGGATCCTACAGAATTACCCGGCAGTTCTGGGTGTCCTACGACCCACTCAAAACCAAAGCTCTCTTAGGAATGAGCAAAAGAAATGCCTACAATCTTACTGCAGTGTGCACAGGGCACTGGCCCGTTGGGGTACATGCCAAAAGGAAGGAGTGACAATCCACTTAAACCAACCAACCAACCAACAATACAATTTCGAGCGTTTTCATTGATCCCAGAAAATTATGTTGACCTCAATAGGACAGAGCTCGTTTTCTTACGTGCACTTCCTTTGGGAAAACTAAAAGCTGGCGGCGGTACCTCTTACAACTGTCCTAGAAAAGTTAGTTTCATGAAGGATTATTACTATACTAAATGCTAACATTTTAGTCTTATTCCCGCCGCATTGCAGGATTTTTTTGTTTACGTGACTGACATTTTTTGCCAAAAATTGGATTTGCTCACCGAAGCTCTTAGCTCAAGCCTTATTCACTCATTTTGAAATATACTAGCCAGAAATGCGATTGCTTTATAAAAGAGAAAACCATTTTGAAATGTGAGTGTTTTTACTCTCTACAAAATAATTTACGCAACCTGCCACCTCACATAAACGGGTTTTTCATTATCTTGGTACGCGGTTTTGTGCTTTAAACGACGATATGTGTAGCTGCAAATTATTTACTAAGCCTTTACTTCAGCATATTGGACATATTCTCTTTCAGCTCGTTAAATCAAACGTGCAAAAATAGCAAACCCTTCTTCTTCGCTTTAGCTAGTTTCCTGCTAGCAAAAGTAAATGGATAAAGCTCATTTAACGAATACTGTTAATTAACCAAAGCGCCGAGAAGTATGCAATAGTTTAAGTGTAGACACAATAACTTCCTGTTAACTTTATGCGCTATCTCTTACCGGTTACCGGTATCAAGTAACGCACATAAATATGCAACGGTTTTGTGTGAATCGATAGAAGTTATTTCCATTCAACAGAGTTATGGTGAATAAATAGAGGTGGTATCGCGGTAATGAATCAACGTGAACTCACACACTCACAACTCCTACATATACTCATCTTGTAGGGAATGTATCTAACTATAAGCCAACTTTAAGTTGATTAGGAAGGAGCTAAAAGTCACTTATTATCTGTATATACTCTTTGACGAAAGCTAACTATATTTCTATGGCGATTGCCGCGAAATAGTCAAGGGTGGTTTACCTCTGCATTAGATGTAGTCAAGGCTGGTTACCTCTGCATTTGATGTAACTTGTAACTAACTACTTTTGGACATAAAATATCAATAAGAAAAACAAAATAATTTTTTTATTTTATTTTTTTATTTTTATTTACTTTATTTATTTTATTACATTTCATATTTGTTTACATATTCTGCTGTAGGTAGCCCCATATTCGAACTCCGCCAGATATAACTTCATAACTTATTTGTCCTCAATTCGAAAAAGGATTTGCGAAGTGCAGGATATTTAAATAGAAACGAGTTTAAAGAAAACAATCTCCTTCATTACTCCTGCATTACTTGTCAACTAGTTTCAAGTTAGCTTTTTGTAGCTACCTACAAGTTACACATTTTATAGAAATCCCGCGAAAAAGCTAACTACAAGTGCGTTATTTTTTACCAATTGATAATTTTTTTCTGCAGGACAGTACGGGTTAAAGGTTTGGTACACGACTCGAAGACGAGCATTTTCAGCAATCAGAATATATCAACATTAGGGCTCTTCATCTAAAGTGATAACGGCATAAATTGCTTAAATTTACCGGTTTATCCGCATTCTGTCATGAACGCACCTTGGTAAATAATTGCATTAAATTGTTTATTATTTAATCTATCTGGCCAGTTACGTTTCATTCTTGCCTCGTCCATTTTGCTAATTTGCTTTTTATGGTTGAATTTTGCTGACGTCTACTTATGACCAAATATTTGATTTTCAGTAACCGATTTATCAATTACTACCAAACTCGGTGCATTTAATAACCTTGGTAAGACTGTTATAGTCTTTTAGGTAGTTTAAAGAAAGTTGGAACGACGAAAGTTGATACCTGTGCCGGGTATATAAAATTGGGTTTCGCCCGAACTTATACTTCTTTACGTTTTAAGTAAGCATTGGAAAATGTCCTTCGTACGCCATGTACGAGTATGTACGATAATGGCGATGTACGATATGGCGTATGAGTAACATCAGTTTTCATCGTTAGTAGCTAATTTTTTTATTTTACAAAGTAACAAGTTTTAGTAGAAATGGGAAAAGTCACAATAACAGCTATATTCTGGTTCAGTGACAAATTCTTGTCAAAGTTTTTTTTTACGGAAAAATATATGAAAAAGTTCAAAATTGGCAGTAAACAAATTTTTGTCACCAATAAAGAATTGGGCTATAAATCTGTTATTTATTCAAATTTTCCTTGTTATAGTGCGTTTTTTTCATTGAAATGAAAATATCTTGAGAGAATGACTTCAGTATTCACATATTTCGACGTTTTTTTTTGTCATTTCAAAACTTGTGACTTTCTCTACAGTGTAATCACTGAAATTGTTGAATGAAAACTTTATTAGTTGAAATTTTCCATCCAGACGGAACAATGTTATAAGTAATTTCATTTGCCCAATTTCCACAGGTAGGGAAAAGGACTAAAATTCCAGAGAAAAGTTAGTGGATACAAAGCAACGGCTTTTTCTTGAGCACTTAATTTTAGTCTGAGATAAAATGTGATTTACAGGTTTTTACAATGCTTTTTGTAGAAAAAAGTTTCTCACAAAAGTTATATAAGTATTTTTTCCATATAATCCGAGTCGATGGTCAAAGCATGTACATATATCCAATAAAAAAAAAAAACACGTCTTCCGGTAATTTTAACCCACTTCCGGTGTCGAAAGCGAATAGTTGATATTTTTGCGTTTTCTAGTAAAAATCATTATCAGCCCTTTCAGAAGGTGTAGACGCGTGGTCTTTGACACCCTGTATAAGTAAACATACGTACATATATAAATGTTTCATATTCTGGTCTGTTTTGGCAAATTTTCAAAAAACCAAAGTAGAACGGACAACCAACAATTTATGACCACTTTTACCAATTTCAATTTACAGTTCTTCATACTCAATGCTATACTACAATGTTATTGTACTTAATACATATTGGCAGTATCGGTAATAATAATAAATCTTTGCTAATTACAGGTGTGGAAATCCAAGCGAATGGGGCTGCATTTATGCTTGAAAGCCCAACAACGAAAATCAGAACAGCAAACAAAACTTGAACTGAACCCAAAGGTGCAGAAATACTGAAATTCAATTAAATTTTGGAACAAAAGCAAACGCTGTACGAGGACTAACTAACTATTGCCGTAAGGAGTAAATGGCAAATTTTGTGATTTCTGAATAAACCGCAAATGAAAGTAGCGGAAGCACAAATTATACGGTGTGTGAACTAACCACATTGCTAGAAAGAACTCCTTATGCAGACGAGTATCACATATGCAGCCAAGCGGGTGCGTTGGTGTGCATAGCCATACAAAACATATTGCAGGCGGAGAAGCAACGAGGTGGCAAAGAGTTGTTCGTTTTTATACTTGAGAGCGTATATATACTTTTGGGTTACCAAGTTTGAATGCAAGCACACAACGTACATACGTATGTATGTATGTATGTATGTATGTAGATAAATGTTTATTTACAAAATGAGGAAAGCTCGCATTTCAAGTTAGTAAAAAAGCCAGTATTTGAATTTCGGAAGTGCAAAGCCAAAAAGTAACTTTGATTGTTGTGCGACTTTTTGTTAAGTACAAGTATTGTGGTTGTGGCAGAAGAGCTGAGATGAAGATAAAGGCAGTGCCGTATGCTGTATATGAGTACAAAGTACATATATGATGGAACGGCGAGAGAGCAAATGAAGTAAGTTTGTAGAGCAAATTGCCTTCTAGCAGTAGCAGGAATCACAAATATAAACTGTGCTACATACAGATGTATAAATGTAATATGAAAGTCAGAGAGGCGTACAGGGCGTATGTGAAACTTAATACAGAAAGTGAAGAAGCATGTACTTGAAAGAGATATGCATGTATGTATGTGTGATTATGAAAATTCAAAGCCCTTTGGCAATGCGAAGTATCTCCAGCAAACATGAACATAATAAAATATGTGTAACTTTACCTGAGCCACTGGTGTGCAAAATTTAATAACGACAGTTGAAATAACGAGCTAAAAATAACAAAAACAAAGTAATACTTCCACACACACACACACGCCAACCGGCATACACCCCCACGTTCATCGGCCGACGCGCCTATTTATCCACAAATTGTGCACAGTATGGAGCAATTTATGCGCGAATATGCCGTGCGGAGCATCCTGCCACATCTGCACACCTCCGGTGGCGGTGCGGTGCAGCGTTACGTACGCTATGCATTAAACTCGGCTATCGCGAATAGCCGCAGTAGCAGCAGCAGCGGCAACGACAGCCTACTCACCGCCGGCGAACTGGACGCCTACAGTGCCGAGAGCAGCAGCGACTATTACTTTATCACATCAGCATCCGATGCCCAGCAATTGCATAACGACAGTGAAAGTGTCATAGCTGCAGCGCCCGTGACATCCGCTGAACTTATGTCGCAGCGGCTGACCTACAACGAAAGCAGCAATGATGCCGCCGCCGGAAGCCCATCCGTACTGGTCTTATCATCGGTCAAAATGACAATGAAAAATGTAGTCAATTTTGCTAGCACCACAGCTTCAGCGGCAGCGGCAGCGGCATCTACAGCCATAGATGCAGCCACAGACGTGGAGTTTGATGAGGCGTATGGCTTTGACGATATTAATATAACCAGCATTATCTGTGATGATGATACAGCGCAGAATAGCACCGAGGAGGTATCGGCGCTGTCGACTGTCTACTTTAAAACCGCCGTCTATCTGATGTACATTCCGATTTTTGTGTTTGCGCTGCTGGGAAATGGTACTGTGTGCTATATTGTGCAGTCGACACCACGCATGCGCACCGTTACAAATTATTTCATAGCCAATTTGGCTGTGGGTGATATACTGATGTCGCTATTTTGCGTGCCCTTTTCGTTTGTTTCGATTTTCATTTTGAATCATTGGCCTTTCGGCACAGTGCTGTGCAATCTGGTCAATTACTCACAGGCGGTGTCTGTGCTGGTGAGCGCTTATACGTTGGTCGCAATTAGTATCGATCGATATATTGCGATAATGTGGCCGCTGCGACCGCGAATAACGAAAAGGTGAGTAGAAAGTGAAAAAGAACATACATATATATTTATATTGAATTGCTTGCATTTGCTAGTGTAATTTAAGCTTAATTCAAGTTGACTTTAGGAAATGCGTTTGTTTTTTAAGAAAGAAATGACCGTTATTTAGGGAAGAAAAAAATCTATATATTTACTATATGTATATACAATGAATGTCTTGTTAAACAACGTAACATAAAAGAACGTAACATAGAATAACACTACATAACATAACATAATATAACATATCACAACGTAACATAACATAATATAACATAACATATCATAACCAAACATAATAAAGCATAATATAACATCCCATAACATAACACACCATATCCATAGCGTTTTATATTTTTCTTTGTCTATCTTTATCCCTATTACGTTCTTCATATCTAACTTTGTCTATCGTCTCGTTTTCTTTATGGTTTTCTTTTTCTATACATATTTTAATTTTTACCTTTACCTGATTTTTATATTCATTCTTTATTCCTTTGCATATTCATCCCCACCGTTTTCATTTTATTGAGTATTTAAATTTACCTTCTTTTTGAGTTTTCTTTCTGCTTCTACATAATCAACTTTACCTTCTTTCTTGTATGGTTCTTAATCTACATAAATCTTATTCCTAATAGAATTGATTTTTTCGCTTTCCTTTAAACTATATAATTTTAAATTTGAATAATCAGCTTCAAAATACCTTTATACTAGGAATGTTATCCCGGCCTTTTTAGGTTCCGAAAATCCCGGGCTTCTTGGCAAAAAATCCCGAGATTTTTCGAATTTGTAATTCGCACTGATGGCAATAATAAAAACCAGTAATGGCTGTATTTCTTTTTTTTTATACCCGAGCGCACTTGTGCACAAGGGTATATTAATTTTGTTCACATAACGGTTGTTTGTAACAGCCAAAACGAATCGAGATAGATATAGACAAATGTATACATAAATGATCAGGATAAAAAAAGAAATCGATTAAGCCATGTCTGTCTGTCCGTCCGTCTGTCCGTCTGTCCGTCTGTCCGTCTGTCCGTGTACACGATAACTCGAGCAAAAAATTGAGATATCTCAACGAAATTTGGTATGTAGGTTTCCCTTAATCCAAGGTAGGTTGCTATTGAAAATGGGCGAAATCGGACTGTAACCACGCCCACTTCCCATATAACGGTAATTTCCAGAAATACGAAAACTGCGATATTTTAGTAACTACTGAAGATAAATCACTCAAAATTGGTATTTACAATAATTTTTTGACAAAAAATAATAATATTATACATTTTTGGAAAATGGGCGTTGCCACGCCCACTTATGGTTACATGTGTATATCTTGGTAACCGCTGTACCAATTTCTACCAAACTTGGCACAGTTGTCGGCCTTCGCACAGCATACAAAATCGCCTAAAATTTTTAAAATCGGACGATAACCACGCCCACATCCCATATAACGGTAATTTAGAGAAATACAAAATCTTCGATAAATCAGTAAATATTGAAGCTAATTTATTCAAAATTGATGCTTGCAACAATTCTTTACCAAGAAATACGTTTGTGATAAATTTTTGGAAAATGGGCGTGGCACCGCCCACTTATGATCACATATATGTATCTCAGTAACCGTTCTACCAATTTGTACCAAACTCGGTGTGGTTATTGTGCTTGCCACATATAAGCAAACCGTTGAAAATTATTGAAATCGGACTAAAATAACGGCCGCTTCTCATATAACGGTAAATTTCAGAACTGCTTGAAACTTCAAAATTTCGAAATCTAAGGACTCTAATTTACTCAAAATTGATACGCCCCGGCTTACCATATAGCCGTAGCTTTCGGTAAGGCGAAAAACATATATTTAATACGTGCGCCGGGTATTTAATGTTCGGCTCTGCCCGAACTTAGGCTTTCTTACTTGTTTATTCTATAACTAATATTTTTTTATATGTAAAAATCTTAATATTCGCAAAACCATCGGCCAAATAAAGTAAAATTGCGTTTTTAGTTTTTCACTCTGACGTCACTAATTCAAAAATGATTTTAAAAATTTAGTGAAATTTGCTTAGACAAGAAGTGTGGGCATCAAATTAAAGTGGAAATACTGTAGAATTTAAACAGATAAAATGTTTTGGGGCATAAGGACTGGTAAGTATTAAAAATGCCCTTATAAAATTTTATCCTTGATATATCGCAATATTTGTTTTAAAAAAAATTATATGTTAAGGACTTATATAAACTCGATAACACCCTCGAATTTCATCCTTCTAACTTTATCAACTTAAAAAACTACTTATTCGTCCTTGTGAATCCGAAATTTTACTTTATTTTTTAATTCTGAAGAAATTTCCTCTTGCATTTTGTACCCATATTTTCATTCTACATTGCATTGAATTTTTTAAATATTTTTTTGGAATCAATCATTTCTTTGAAATTATGAAGACCTTTAAAATAAATCCTCACGTCAGAGCGAAAAAATAATAACCAAAAATCCCAGGATCGTAAAAGCGAAAAAATTGTCATCCTTACTTTAAACCATATATAATTTTCCAAACCAAAGAAGCAGGGTTTAGCTCTAAAATGGGTTAAAGAGAGCATGTTTGCCTATTTGTGTACAAGGTTATAAGTGAGTAAAAGCTATTTAAGTCTGAACTGGCCCAAACTGGTTTCGATGTAAGCTCGAATTGGTCAAAAGTAAGCCCCAAATTGGTCCCGAAGTGAACCCAAACTAGTTCCGAACTAGTCATTAACTAATGGCGAAATGGGCCTGAACAAAAAAACGTCTCAAAATAAATTTAATCAATGTTTGAAAATGATCTATCTGATAGGTGGCCGCCAGCAGAGTTAATGTAGGCATGGATTTTTTGTATGGCATTCCGCATCTCGTTCGTCAAGATTGGTATTTTTGAGCGTCCGCGGCTTAGATAAGTAAACTGGTATCGTCCAGTAGTCGAAATTCGACAACATAAACTTTTGAATTTTACGTGTCACCAATACTAAATCCTTTATGCGAATTACTATTTTGAAGTCCACCAGCATAATATATAGCAAATTTACAGGAAAACTTAAAATCGAATTGCGAACGTTAATACGGCATTGATTAATGCTAATTCTACCAAGTCTCCTGCAAATTTCTTCAGTAGCTTTTGAAATTAGACCGAAAAAGAAACCTCGACTTTCATTTTTTAAAAAATATGCATATGCATTTGTATGTATAGATGAGATGTTCATCATTGACTAATATGTAAGTACGGTATTGACAACATATGTTGCTGTGCCAAATTTCAGAACGTTAGCATAAGCGGTTCCAGAGATAAGCGAAATAGTATACACCACTTCTTACTCTCTGCTTTACCTTTGAACCATCCCGTTCGTTCCTCGGAGGAATCTATGTTTCAAAGCCATTTTAAAAGCTGAAATCTGCAAATATTGCTTATTTAAAGCGGCTAAATAAAAACATTTTAGAGCTTTTCGCCATTCACAAAATTCAAAAAAGCAATCAAAACCAACAAAATTTTTTATAAAATCTCTTTTAAGCCTCACTTTTGCATGTGCATTTTTTTTATTATGCCGGTACTTGCATGTCATCAAATGTTGGCTGTCGCACAAATTCATAATACGTAATACTCGAAACTAACCTTTCCACTTTAAAATTTTGGATGTGTGTACATGGCGCGTCAAGTGTCATGAAAAAATTTCACATCAGGGTATTATTATTCCACCATGGATTCGAGTGAAAACAAAAAGAAACAAATGAAATAACGGCGAGAGAATTTTTCATCAATGCTAGCAAACACCAAAATTCCTAAAGTTGGCTCTCAGCGATTGTGCCTTATAAATATTTTTGTAGTGAAAGGAAGGAAGCTAGTTAATTGGCACAGAGCTCGTTCAAAACCTTTGCAGCCGACAATCACTTGTACATATTTTGTTGCAAATAAACAACCGTATGGTCATAAAAATTTCATATTGACGCGTGTCTGTCGAAATTCACCGTTTTTTTGCACTTGGAGCGTCTAATAAAGATTTTGTAGTGAAAGAGCGAAATCCGGAGAAAAAATTGCACAATTTCATACATGCGCTACACTGTAAAAATCGCGACTACTACATGCACGCACGTAAATAGAAATCTCTGTTTTATTGAATTATTCATTTTTCTCATTACGCCCATCCCGCCAACAGAGTAGCACACAACTAATCCATGGTATTACTCCACGGAGTACCGACCTTTTGGCAACGCAGCCCAATAAGCATCGCGCAGTGATTACGATCCTTAAAACATGAGCAATGATCGGGTAACAACAAGTTGGTGTAGATAAACCAGTTGGTACGCTATTGCATTACATAGGAGCATTTTGAAAGCACTACAATATGGCCCAACGATTTTTGCAGGATAATACTCGTAACCAAAGTGATAGGCAGCTTGCCAGCAGTAAAAAATTCAACAACAAACTTTTGCAGTAATAAAGTTGCTCATCCGATACGTATGTATGTATGTATGTAGGTAGGGCCAAACGCACCAACATTCTCGGTTACATCAGTGATGAGCAGCGCATAGCAGGCAGAACTCCATAAGCAAGTGCAAAAGTTTTGCATATTTACTTATGTATGTATGTATGTATACCTGTGTACTTGATTCGAGCAATAAATGCGTGCTTCTAAGCTGAGCGGATTTGGTGCAATTGGCCGCAAGTTACGCAGTTGCGCGTAGTTGTGTTTGAGCCGTTCAGTGCAAAAATTGATTAACTCCATCAACAAAAAGTTGGGAGATGCGATCAAGTAATGTACATTATTATTTTAAATTCCATTTATTTTATAAAATCAAATAAATAATGTTGTTATAAGTATTATGTACTATTGTATGTCATATAAAGTTATTAAAAACGTAACGAGTTATAATTATATCAAATGCTTTGACATTTAAGCATTTAAGATTTTTCGAAAAGTGGAGTTAATCGATGTGTACACTGAACGGCTCATTTATGTTCGCATTTACTTGCAACCAACAA